ATTTTATAGGAGAATTCTATTTAACTATTAATAAAAAAAATTACTTTCAATCTATATATGAATGATACTGTAAACCAATGAATAAATGAAAAACTGTTACACTACACGTGCATTAATTAATAAAAAAAGAAACAAAAAAATGTCAATTGGCGAGTTTTGTAAGTTGATATGCTAATTTTGATGACATGGCAATCGATGTCGCACAGTCAATTTTCGCCAAAATATGTCTTGCTGATGTTAATTCTGTCATGAATAACTGCTCACGATGAACATCAGCTCTGAAAGCATCAAAACTTTTGGAAACATCTGACCATATTAATCGTAGTCCATTTGATAAAGCAAGTTTAATTTGGGCAGATGTCGACGCTTTCAAGTAAAAAGCAGTTGAATGCATTTGAAAAAATGCTTCAGTACTATATGGCAATCACTACCTCGCTCTATTTTAAATAAATATCATTAATTAGTCATTTAACTAAGATAATGACATCTTACTATAAAGTTGACAAACTTCATCGGCCACTCCTCATGCTGTTTCCATAGCTAGCAAGCACGATTGAATATTATTAATAAGTTGTTCTTTATTCTTTATATTTGATGTTGCAGGGCTCTTGATGACACTTATATCAGAATCTGTATTGATCACAGTAGGTGTTATTGTCACACTTTGATCTTTTAGTATACGAGGACCCAGTATTCGCATAGCACGTTCTTCTAATGTTTCATTCACTCGTCTTAATGATTCTGATCGAGTTGTAATAAATGAAGATTGATTATCCGGAAGAAAACTAAGTGTAGTAGGTGGCGACAAAAATGACGTATGTGATGTTGATGCTGAAACGAATGATATTAATAGACGATTTTATTCATACATACATATATTAACCTGATGCTTACAATGATCTTTAGTAACAGAACGAGATTGAAATGGCTTTAATGTAATATTACGTAACCGTTTAGAGACATGCTCAGCATGTGCTATATCCGCATCAGTTGCAAATCCGACATAATAAACATTTTCTTTCAACGATCGTCGTTTGTCATAACATACAATTCGTAGTTTTGACTTCAATTCTGAAGTAAACTTATTCGTATACAACACTCGTTGATATTTCATGACCTGGCATAAAAAACCAAGGTTATTATATAAAGCAATTTATTCAAAAATCTATACTATGCATCAGGTTTAATTGATAAAAACTGCGAAAAGGTAATGTTGTTATACTAGCTCCTAATCGACATATACATGAAAGTACGCTCATTAAACTATTGAACTATTATCGACTAATTGCTTTTCCTCTCTACTTTACGCATTTGTTTACTAACTTCTTATCTGATCTATCATCATATATATAAACAAATCATGGTGGGGCTCATTCGAGCCACTTGTGTTCGCTGTACTGCGAATCATATTCTAAGTCAAGCCTAGACTCATATATACTTACAAATCAAAGTATACGATTGATATAATATGAAAAGATCTTAAAAGAAGAAATTCGTTCTTTGAAACTTTATAATAATAATTGAATTACTTGCCAACGAAAAAATAAGAAAATTTGCTTATTATTAATAAGCTAATAATGTGATATCTATGAAGAAGTCAGTAATAGCATGTAACAATGGAAAAAGATGCTACAATTCCTGAAATGTTCGCCTTATTTATGGGGTGATAATGTTCTTCTTTTTCTTTATCTTCTTCATCGACCTTGCAGTCGAATTATAGTCTTTTCAAAAATAAAAAAAATGAGTCAGACTTTCCAAGATATAACTATCTTTCACTTAGTTGCGTGTGTCCTTCAATATTAGACTGATCACGAACAGTTTCGGTTCATGATATAGATTTGTTTATATTAAAATCTGTCTCAAGGTTGTTCACGTATTTTTTTTATACATGTTGCCTGATTATGATGAGAAATGATTATGAAGTGCATGAGATAATGTTCAGGGTTTTTTTTCGCTGTTACGTAGTTTTTTTTCATTCAATAATCCATACTAATTTAAATGAATCAACAGATTTATAAAATAGATTAAATAATTCATCAACTTTCTTGTTTATTCAATAACATGTATTCTTTGAAGTCATCTGACTATATATCTTGCACTTGTGAACTATGAGAACGAAAAAAATAGATATATAACACAATCAGACGAAGAGAAAGAGAACAATTAATATCTTATATAATGAAGAGAAACGAATGAAAAAAAGGCGTCAGACTATTTGATAGATAAAACAGAAAAGCACGAAATTGTTCATATTATTTTCAGGCTGCGAATATCTGATATACTTCAGTAAGATCATTTGATTGATATATAACAACTAATAGTACTGATTCGACGATGTTTTTAAACTTTACAATTATTTTTCTTCTGTTATAGTTTGCCATTATATATTCGCTATGGGTCCAATATTTTCAATATTTCCAAGATCTGTTAAATATTCTACTCAAATATCGGGAAATAATAATAATGTTTGGTTCATCGACACTTCAAAGTTTAACATAACATTGATACTAGACCAAGCAATCCAAAATGCTACCAAAAAATTCCAAAACATTGTTATTGCTAATAATCCAGGTATCATAATTAATATAATGTTGATTCTAATGATTATAAGTCTACCGATTCTTTTTCTATATTTGAAACGTTACCATCAGCAACAACAACTCTTAGCTAATATAAATTTGCACAGATCTCCATTTGGCAGATCTAATGAACATTCCGTTTCGAACGCAACATCTATTCCAAAGCATATACCAAATTCTATTGGAGGATATCTTACTTAGAATTATGTGTCTTTCAAGTTGCTCAACAATAATTGACTAACAATAAACATTAGCTGATTAGTATAACTTTTTCTAAATGTGCATGTCTACTTATTTTATCATTTGTATCGATTGAAATTTTTTTTTCAAAAATAAATTTTCAGTAATATTCTTACAACCGTATCAAATAGATTAGTTTTTTTGTAAAATCTAGAATTTATTTTGATTCATAAGAGTAAGAAATCCTTCATAATCAATATTTAGCTGAATTACTTTTTTTTTATTTTATCAGAAAAAAAAGAAACGTGCTCTTCTCTCTATCATCCACTATAAAAGGCGAGTAATATACGAGTAAGTGTTTCATAAAAAAAAATTACTACTCAAATATTCAATATCATTACATACTACTTTCAAAAAAATATGGCTATCCTTATTGGTGATAAAAATCAATACGAACAAAAAATCAACAATGGAAGTAATAATAATATTAATATTGGTGATTCGGCTTTGCCAAAGGTTCATGATAGTCCACTTAAAACAGCTGTTAAATCTGCTAATAGAATCATGGAAAGTGGTACGGATATTATAACAGCACCAGCAGTTTGGTTAAAAGATATGCAGAAGAATTGGCTTAGTTATATGGTTGTTCTTGCTGTAATTTTAATAATAGGTACATTTTTATATTGTACAATTCGATCATACTTCAAACGGAAAAGCAACAACAGCAACAGTAATAACAATAACAACAACTGGTCAATGGGCAATCTTGTTGAACTGGCTACAGTGTTCAGCAATAAAAATCCCCACTCACAAACACCATTTTCGTTACCAGCAACAAAACCATCATTAGCCCCATCAACATTAGATGCAAGTTTTAAAATATGAAACTGGTAATAAAACTGATAAATATGAACTAACAAATATGTAGTCATAGTTTCATAGCTTTTAGATCTTTTTTAATTTCATCTTTATGTATCAAGTATGTTATTCTCATTTAATCTAGCTTGAATCTTTTCTTCATAAAATAATATTAGTGTACTTTATATTCATTTTATTACTATAATAATCTTTATATAATCTTGTAATTTTCTTCTATTATTCAATTTGTTGCAGTACTTTTTCAATATCATTTCATTTAATAAATTTGTTATACTTAAAACAAAAATTATTTTTTATTATGTATAATACAATACAATCTCATTCAATAGCTCAAACTTGTTACTGGTATATTCTAATGCTTTTTTATATGATTTATTCTGAAATTGTAATAAAATATATGAATAATATTTATTTATTTATCAACTCGGATTATTTCATAATGAAGATTAACATTCTTTGCTACGATATTCATTTTATATCCTTTGATTTTTAATTCATTGTTTTTCTGACTCATATCAAACTATTCGCTGTTAAATTCAGAAATAAAAATAGCTGTTTCTGCTGCTAATAAGTTTCTAGTTCAATATAGCATGCCGATATTGGTACAAGTTATATATTTTTTACTTCTCTTAACGATATTCTATTCTACCGAATTCTATTTTCAAAATCTTCAAACAGTGATGAATTTGCTATATCCCAATCTCTTGTTTTACTTAATGAATTTAAAGAGATTGTTATTCATTTTTTTTTATTGTAAGATTTCATTTCATATTGAAATGCTTTTTTTGAAATATATATCTTTCTTAAGTTCGTCTAGTATAATGGTTTATATTAAATTGATGCAAACATTATTTTCATTTTATCTAAATTTTTATGTTACTTTCGTACAATTAAAATTAAAAAGATTGATAATTATTTTTTATACGAATTCTTTTATTTCATCTCATTCAATGGATGAAAAAAAAGACTGATATTCCATTTCTTTTATATATTTCTATATAAAGTAGCTTCATGAAGTTCAAGGTTAATATTCTTTCAATTTATCATTTCTATAACCAAGATAAAATTGGTATTAATCTCTTTACTTGAGATGTTCTTTTTATCATATTCAAGTAATACGCGTCGATGTTTCTAATAATTTGTATCTGACGAATAGTCTTATAATTTACGTGCTTCATATATGAATGTAATAGTGGACTAATATTTCTTTAATATATATCTTTCACGAGCATCAATCAATGTTCTTGTCAGAATTTAATTTGAAAGAAATCATATTTCTGTCGAATCAAACATAAAATATTTTATCCATTTTCAATATTTATCTTATCTTTGACATGACAACAATGACAATAAAAAATATCTATTCTATATATCTATTTTCTTTTTTTATATTTTTGCATTTAATATCAGTAAACAGATACTCTATCGTGTTCATTTTTTGTGTATAAATATAAATATCGTTTATATGATCAAAATAAAAATATGTTGCTGATGTGCATAAGACTAATCGATAACATTACATACTCTCCTACACTCACACCCTCAAATGAAAATAAATAGATGAATTTTCCAAAAAGAAATCATTCCTAAACTCAAGTTACTTTCGAAGATATATCTACACATTTGTAATATATGAATAAGATACATTCTGTCTTAGACTGACATTAATGTTACATCTTTTTCTTTTTTTATTCCAAAACGTTTTTTGTAACATTTTCCTCTTCATCTTATTTTATTTAAAAACTTTAATATTAAAATATATTACTATTACTACATTATGTTTGTTGATCAAGATGCAAAAGTATTGTCGAAACTGTTTCATGTAACACTCTCACTCATTCACATTCTTTTAACAAACGAACAAACTTGTTCTTGCTCCCATACTTTCTCGTTATTCTTCAAACGTTGAGAAAAAAGAATATGATCGTAAGATGTGTTTCTTTTACATCTATAGATCAAACTATAAATGAATTGTTTAAACATTGAATTTATAATGTATAAATTAATTAGAGCAATTTTTTTCTTGAGAGCATGTATGTATATCAATGGATGATAAATTTCATATATGCATCTATTCACTGATACCTTCGTGATTTACTTTTCAAAAAGAATATTCAAATTGTTTTTTTCTCTAATGTTTTTGGTTATTTGTTTCACTCTTACAATCTATCATAAAGTATTTAATTGTTTTATTTCATTCTTGAAATAATTCTCTGGATTTGGTTTTGTAAAATGATTGGTAATCACCTTTTTCTATATAAAAGAATAAGACTGATTTTTTTCCAAATTTCTTAAAGTAAGTGAATCTTACTTATAAAATGCTAAACATATAAAAACTTTTATCAATAATTATTCGCAATAGCGATCGAATGAAGTGATTTATCTATCATTAAAATACATTAAAATATAAATTAAAATTATTATATGAATATTAGTCGTTTACATAAATATATTTTTTTTAGAAACTCCTATTTGATGACGAAGATAAACATTATATTACAAATAAAATATATACACATACTAAGGACAATACTCATTGGCATTGTGTTTAAAAAGATTTTTGACGAAAAAATCACGTTTGATACATTGTAACCATTATCTATAATCGCCTATTTTATAATCTGAACTGAAATAAATAAATAATTTATTTTAGCTGTATCTCAAACAATATTTCGACAAAATAGATGTGAGGGTACTTTTCGTTTTCTTCATGCACAAATTCGAACACATGAAAAATCTAAATTTAACATTTAATCAAAGATAACGTCTATTAATAACAGACCGTTTATAGAATTTATTAGTTATATAATATATCTTTTTTTTTATGTAATATGAAAAATTAGTAATCATTCTGTGAGAGCACTAAAGCTGTTACAAATACAAATTGTCAAAAAGCAAATTTCTTTATATTTGGAATAGTACCCTTCGAGTTGCTTATGGACATTTTATTTGATTTCTTATTTAGAAAAAGGCATTTTGAAATAATATATTAGGTAGAATTTTGTTCATATATCTTGACTACTAATATCTGATCGATCAATTTATATACATAATTCTTCATTATAAATCATTCAAGAATATCTTATTAAATCTCATAACGGTAATATTAATATCATTATTGAAAGATAAATAAATAATTTAATCATCATTGATCTATCTAATGGAGATTTTTTCCATTGTTTTTCAAGTAACGATGTTACACTAACAAGTAATGGCATTGCAGCAGCAAATATACGTAATAATAATACTGGGCATAACAGATGTTGAAAAAATAGGTACTTGAATTTGTTTGATTATTCATTCTAATGGATCAATTGAACGATATTTATTAGCAATTTTATCAGTTGTACTCATTACAATTGATGGTGTTGTTAAGAAAATCATAAAGAATACAAGAGTCTTTCAATTAAAAAAAAAATATTTGTTTAGAAAAATGGTTTTCTATTTATTATACATACAATCTTAACTACAATAATACGAAACCAATGACTAGCTTTACTCATTGGAATATTTTTTCTACAGAAAAAAATATATTCTCTGAAACGATACTTATCAAATAATATTTTTTGGACTTAGTGCAAATTTAACATTCCATTCATGAATTCCAAGTGTTTCACTTCTTGATGTTTCTATTCGACGATCTCGTGAAAAACATGTCGCACGGAAATCTGCACAAACTCTAAAAAGAAAAAGAAGAATACAAAATTATTCACTATATTCAATTATAAAACTTATGAGCTTGTTCTGGTGTTGAAAATATTACAAAAGCTATTCCACATTTTTTATCTCTTACATGTGTAAATTCATCGTCTACACATTATTTATATCGGCTTAAACGCGTAACGCGTCACCTTCATGGTCGAGAGTTCGAATTCATTATTTCGAGAACTTATTATCACCATTTTATAGGGCATAGTCTAAAGTGTCTAGAAACATATTTTGTTTCGATTTTGACTGCAAAAATTCGTGTGTAGGTAGTAGGAACAAAGATACTACCTTATGATGAAAAAAATGATTTTATAAATGTTACATATTGTTCTGATCGATTTTATTGATATAGTTTATCATTTCCAGAGTTGATTAAGACTAATTATGTTTACTAGGATAGAGGTATCCTTTCACATAATTATTGACTTTCTGATACCTTTTACTTTTGTGAAGGGGTGTAAACAAAACTAGCATAATTTACAGCATCATCGCGTAACGAAAACAACAAATTCTTCATTTCTCACCCGCTAGTCCACTTTATTTTTGGATGGAAAGTTTATACGCAAAGCTAACTTTTCTTGCTCTATCTAATAGGCATACTTTTATTTAGAAGCAATTCTTTCGATGGAAATGTTTGCGTAACGCGATGACGATTTTCTAATTTTTTCCTTATATTTTTTCGTTTTTATGAAAAAAAATATTTATTAGTAACTCATCACCCAAGAATTGTTTTAAGCGATGTATAAGAACTCTCTTGATTCCTAAGGTATTATCATCAAACTACAGTAAATTAATTCGAAATACTACGTCAGAATCGTATAATCTACTGGAGAATCCAAAATCTTTCCTTATTTATAAGCGGGGTCAGAAGTTCGAAAAAAATAAAGTTCTATATTTTTCAACCTAGTTCTATGGATTCGACGCAGTTTTTCACGCTGATTCTGAATATGTACTTGGTTTTATATTTCAAGTATATTTTTATGAAGAAAATCAAGAAATACCTATCAGAAATTAGATAGTGATAGGTTAGCCTGCCTAATTTGTTACTCGTAATTTTTGAGTTGAAATGTTTAATAGCACAAAAATTAATGCATATTTCCTGTAGTTATGGCAAGTAGTACACTATTCTTACATTATGCGGCTGAAAATGTCTCTAGAATATGTATAAAAAACTTTAATCAAAAACTTAGCATCATCGTGTTACGAAGCCATCATCGCGTTACATTCTTGAAAGCAATTTTTTGGCAGAATAGACTGTTTATTTGCGAAACGAGTCTTATCATTAAATACCCCAAGGT